ATTTTGGTTTAATAATATAACATTTTATAAAGATAATAATTAAGTATTCTCTTAGAACTCAATGATTATCCTAATTATATTTTAGATTTTTAATATTTAATATAAGATGTTTATCTTGTATTTGATTATGTTTATCTGCAATTAGTTACACGAATTCAGATATGGAGCTTTAATATTTACGCACAATCTATTTGTAATCTTGAGTTTTAAGTAATATGCATTAGTAAACAGTACTTTACGCATAAAAAGTAGTTTCTAAGAGTTTTTGTCAAATGCTTTATAATATAGTATAGATTATTTTTTTTATAATTTAATTTAAGTTTAATAATGAAATAATTTATTTTTGGTTGAATAACATAACATTTTATAAAGATAATAATTAAGTATTCTGTTAGAAATCAATAATTATCCTAATTATATTTCAGATTTTTTATATTTAAAATTAGATGTTTATCATGTATTTGATTGTGTTTATCTGCAGTTAGTTATTCGAATTCAGATATGGGATGAAATCGGATAGGGATGAAATATGGTTTAAGAGTTTTTAAGAGTTTTAGCCAAATGCTTTATAATATAGTATAGATATATATACTACATTAATAAGCATTTAGACCAAAGGTTCTAATTACAAATCTCAAAGCATAAAGTACTATCAATTTATTCAAAAGATTCAAAAATTTCTTAAGTACAAACTGTTATACATAGTGTACAAATGCTTAAAACATACCATTTATTTGGTCAAAGTTTCAGATTTAAGTAAGTCATATTTACATGAAAAATGTATGTTTGGTCTTTTCAAAATTGTTTGACACTTTGTTTGTTTCCTATTTTAAACTCAAATTCAAATTCAAAGTTCTTCTGTTTTTTGAAGTAAACTGAAATCTGAAGCACCAATATCAGAAAGGATTTCAGGTCATATATGTACCCCACTCCAACCCTTGAACTTTATATAGGTTTAGAAACTCAACATGTGTGCAATTATTTTTCTAATTGATCTTACTACTACACCATATTAGACTTCAACTTTATATATTAGTTGACTTGTAAAATAACTACACAAACTCATGATTCAAAGCTAAACTAATGTTTCAAAATTATGATTTATCTGCTGCATCGTACAGGCACATCACTAGTGTGTGTGTGTGTGTATATATATATATATATATATACACACACACACATTTAAGAGTAAATTATAAATTTGATTTGTTTGTCAAATATAACACTTTGTCGTCATGTAGTTTTGAAATTATAAGAAACTCATCATGGTTTATAAAAAAGGGCAAATTGTATGAAAAAGTAATGTACTTTAACTCGATTTCTATTTTAGATAACTTACTTTCAAAACTTTCATTTTGATACCTAAGATGTAAAGTTTTAAACATTTAAATACATGGGTAACTAGTTGAAGTATTAACCGGTTACCATGCTGATGTGGCGAGTGATGTGGTATCCAACTCAGTATTATTTACTGAAGCATTAACCGAATACCACACCACTCGCCACATCAGCATGATAATTGGTTAATGCTTCAACCGGTTACCCACGTACTTAAATGTTTAAAACTTTACATCTTATGTACCAAAATGAAAGTTCTGAAAGTACGTTACCCAAAATAGAAATCAAGTAAAAATACATTAACTTTTCATACTATTTTCCCTGAGAAAAATGTACTTTTTCCCCCCTTCAAACGACATAAAAATACAAGTCAGTTTTTCTATGCAAATAGCAAGACTTTCTGTTTTCAGTTTGTGAAATTGTTGACAGTAGTTGTGAAAATAAGCAAATTATATCTGAAAGATTATTGACGATAACAAGAAAACAACAAAAACGATCTGACTTTTAATCTGGTATTCGATTTCGTCTGGAATCTATAAAAAAGTCTTTGTGTTTTTATATATTTGAGGTGATAATAACACGTTAAATTACAAGTCATAATAAAACCACTTATAATTCAACCTAAACAATGGTTGACAATGAAGTCTTTGTTTTTTGTCATGTAAAATATTTATTAAAAAAAGACTAATAAAAAAAATAACAACAAAAAATGACCAAAGCAAGAGTATTTTATGTATTACAGGGGGTGTTTGTGATTGCTTATTTAAAACAACTTATGTATTTTTGTAAAAATGGTTATTAACTTATGTGGTATTAAATCGGAGTTTTGTAAAAAGTGTTTGGATTAGCTTATAGCGGTACCAAAAAGCAATAAGTTGATAAGTTGTTTTTTAATGTTTGATAAATTTTGCTTACATATATGTTAAATGACCAAAAGGAACAGTTTTCCATATAATAATATTTTTGATTATTAACTTATTTGATTTTTTAACATGTAAAAATTTATTTTTCATCATTTATAATAATATTTTTGATAAAAATTTATATCAATAAAATTAATAATTAACAAACATTAATAAAACAGGGTTAAAATGGTAATAAGCAGTTTTTCATAAGTCAGGAAAAAGTCAAAAAGTTCAACTATGGGTTCGTATGTAAAGAGCAAAATGACTAGACTTTATGTTCGCATGTTTCAAGATAAAAACGTTTTTTACTTTGACTGAATTGAATTATTACATCATTATTTATTTATATATAGAGAGAGGGGGTAAGTTATTATGCAACTCTTTACATTTATATAACTAATATAATTCAATCTCAACCGTCCATTTAATTTGATGAATATATGATTTTATAAAAGTTTAGATTATTTTTTAATATAAAGTATTGATCATAATTAATGAACACTAGTCATCTTTCTTAAATATTCAAATCATAATAAATGAACTCTTATCATTTACATAAATATCTCAATTGATTGAGTTACATTGGTTGTATAAATGTGATGAGTTGCATTTGAAACGTTCTCTCTCTCTATATATATTTAACGAAACAAAACTTAACTCCAAATTTAAAAAGTTCTCTAGAACCGTATAGTTTTTTTCAAGAATGTATTAGGATAAATAAAATTATATATTATTTTAATGATATAATTAATATTTAAATAGAAAATTTATTAAAGTATCCATTTTTTTGATTGGTTTCACGTTTACCAAAATATCATAGGTCTGCAAAACTCACGTTCGTAATTACGGACCCAACTAAAGGGCAATTTTTTTTTACACATTCTACCCCTGTCAGCAAAAGAAAACTACAATTTTCATCCAGGTCCAAAAAAATTTACATTTCACACCCAGGTCCCAAAAAAACTTAAAATTACGGATCTAAAGCTATTTTGGTAAATCTTGTAAAGAAATGACAAAGAGATGAAACCAACTGATAGAAATGGCTATTTCAATTAATTTTCCTATTTAAATCTCCTAAAAAGAGAACCAGACAGCCTAGCGGCGTCAAGAATCAACGAGGAGCAATCCAACAACGACGACCCCACGGACCAAGAACTCGAAAACCTTATCCATCGAAAATCTAAATAGAGATGTTGATGGAGTTGAATTTAATTTATTTTAAGAAATTTAACCTTTTGATTGTCTAATTTTACAGAAATTATAGAATTTGTTGAAAATGCTCTAAATAGTGATCTTAAGCAGAAGGAGCCAATCCCTAATTTAAATTATATACACAGTCAATTTATGGTTGTTTACTAAACACTTACCTTGGTAAATATTTACGGGTTCAATTACCTTACTGGGTGAACATACCAAGAACTGAAAATCTTATTTAGTAAGAGGGAAAACAAGGATCGAGAGTCTTACCCGGTAAGTGAGAGTTATGACTCTTACCCAGTAAACTCTTACCGGGTTATAACCATTTACCATCAATCCATTTTTATGGTTGATGATGTTACCCCACAAAATAAAAGCGTTTGGTAAACAGTCCCTTAGTTTTTTTAACCAGAAATCCCAAACCGAATTTTATCAATAAGTTCAAATCTATATCCAAGAAAAACGTAACCATTTTGTTTCGGCAAAGAGAACCAACGATCAACGAGAGATAAATCATCATTGACATTGCATTTTTCAATCGACATACGATCAAAATCAACCGTTCTTCCATTTCCCAATACTTCTTAAATCTTTCTAACACGTATGGTAAAAAAAACGAACAACATATATACCGCCAACATCATGGAAAAAACCCAACTCTTCTATTCCATCACCGTGGACCTACTTCAGTGATCAACGATTCATCCGTCGATCTCGGAATCGACACGCTACTCGAAAAATACGACGCGGGCGTTTTCGGAAGATACCGAGGAGGTGTTGTGGGAGTTGGAAGAGTGATGGAATAGTTGTTGAGAAGGTTCAAAACATTAGCCATATTAGGCCTTGCATCCACATCTTCTTGTACACATAGTAATCCAATGTTGATACATCTCATAACTTCATCTTCACAACAAGTTTCAAACAAAGTTGGATCCAGAAGTTCCTCCATTGCTATTCCTTCTCTCCATTTCTTCCAAGCCTTCATGGGGGATAATAAAGATATCATAAGAACTCGATACAGACGAAAGTGGTATCTGCAACCCGAAGGCGCCACCAATCCGCGTGGTTTACGTCCACTGTTCACTAAAGCTAAATTGGGTTTATAGGATGCTATCAATTTCTAAGCGTCCTAATAGACTGCTTAATTTATAAGACGAAAAACTATAACGTTCTATCTAAACGCGTTGTAATAAGTTTATAGGACGCTTTTGGGCGTCTTAATAAGTTTTATAGGACACTTTTTGTACAAAGCGTCGTATTAACAATTTTATACGACGTTTTTGAGAAAATGTATCTTTTTAGGACACCTGCTTATAAGACAATTTTTCAAACAGTGTCCTATAAAATTGTTAAGGTGACAATTTGTATTAAAAGTGTTCTAAAAAACTTGTTAAGACATCCAAAAACGTTCTATAAACTTATTACAACACCTTTAGATAGAATGTTTTATTTTTTTGGTCCTATAAATGAGTTTTATAAAGCAGTCTATGAAGACGCTTAATTTTTTTTATGGCGTCCTGTAAACCCGATTTTATTGTAGTGGTCACACAATACTGAACCAACAAACCCTCCCTTACTACAATAATATCGGGGGTCCTAAATCATAATATACTACTTTATAATCCTAATCATACCGAAAAGAGTTGTAATAATCTTATAGGACACTTTTGGCATATTAAACCCGATTTTGTTGTAGTGTCTATTGGACGTTGGCATGGCCACAAGTGTTTTTGCACCCCGGTGGGAATAGATGTTTAGGCCAAAATAATTCGATTTCGAGAAGCAAAGGAGGAGTGATTAGGAGGGTAATGTGGTAATTTTTGGGGTACAAAACCGCAAATATCGTCATTTTAAATCAGCGGTTAGAAATCAACGATCGTTGCAAGGAGAATTAGGGCAAGTAAGAATCATAAGAATACGTAATACTTACAAAATGTGGAAGATCCTCGGGTTTATCTTGATCATAGAAACGTGTACTTTTCCTCCCTGTGATAATTTCCAAAACGACAACGCCAAAAGCAAACACATCCGACTTCACAGAAAAATGTCCGTGCATCGCATACTCAGGGGCCATGTAACCGCTGCAAACACATTCATGTTTTAATTTGACAATAACGACAAATGAAACCGTCTCTTCATGACACAAAAATCCGTCGTTAAACTAGCAAACACCCGTCTCAAAAGTGTTTCACTTCACAGCAACATTACAACGAAACTGACTTTATAGGACCAAACTATAAAATGTTACAACAGATTTATGGGACGCTTTTAGACGTTTTAACAAGTTTTTTAGGACGTTTTTAAATTAAAGAGTCATATGAGCTATTTTTAGGACACTTTTGAGAAATGTCTTATAAAACCCCATCTTTTTATAGGACAATTTTTCAAATAGTGTCTATAAAATAGTTAATACGACACTTTATTTTAAAAGTGTCCTAAAAAACTTGTTAGAACGCCTAAAAGTATCTTATAAACCCATGGTAACACCTTTAGATAAGACGATTTTTGGTTTAGCCCTATAAACTTGCATTCCATAAGCTTCTACCTTTTATGCATCCTATAAAATCAGTTTTGTTGTCTAACGACATTGCAATTGACACTAAACAAAGGGAAAAGTCTAAAAAAACCCAATGGACTTTAGTGTTTGGAATGATTAAGTTCTTGGACAATTTTTTGGAACAAATAAGTCCTTGGACATTCCAAAACATGTTAAATAACTCATTGGACAATTTTTTTGGAACAAATAAGTCCTTGTACAATTTAAAACATGTTAAAATAACTCATTGGACAATTTTTTGGAACAAATAAGTCATTGGACAATCCAAAACATGTTAAATAACTTCTTCGACTTTTCTAAAACTTGTTGGATACATTCTTATGACTTGTACAACTAGTTAATATGGTAAAATAGTGAAAAAAAAGTCCGAAAAAACCTAATGAACATTCACATTTTGTACGATTAGGTCCCTAAACATTTTTTGAACCAAAAAGTATTTAAAACTATAAAATTAAACAAATATAACAAAAAAGTACTTGCATTTACAAAAAAAATAATTACATTTAGTAAAGATTTTTAATAAAATTTATTTTAATTAAAATAAAAAAGTATTTAGTTAGTGATTTTTCAAACTAAAAAAAAT